TCTCTCTCTGTGTCATTCTGTCTGTCTGTCTGTCCCTCTGTCTATATGTTTGGGGGTTTTTTTTATTTGATGAACGATTAACTAAATCTATTTAAAAGGAAAATCTCTAAATGTGTCATATTATCAGTCACGGTTGTTAATCCTTGCTATGTCCTACCTGAAACTCAAACTGGCGGGTTTATATTTTTGCCAAAAAGAATCACAAAACATTCATAATTTCATAACACAGCAGTTTTCTAGGTCCTTTCGAAAGCCCGAGAATGGGATATGGGTGACTTTAATGCTAGCATCTATTTAAACCACTCCATCAAATAAAGGAAATTGTTAACTCTAAACACACTCCCGGTACTCAGATAAATTGAATTATGCACACTGAAGCATCCCAACCACAGTTAGCACGTTTACAAAATGACACATTGTAGGCCTCTACTCTACAACATTATAAACGTCTTCTTATGAAACCGTAATAACAATAAGGACTCCTTCCTCCTTTAAACAGAAGCCCCTCAACACAACGAAGGCTTGCTTTCATTCCCTGCACTATATCTGAAGACCCTTAAATCCGCTTTCATCTCCTAAGCCTTCAAAACGATGTTACTGGGTCAGAGACGAATAAAACTGTGACTGCTACTTTAATTGTTTGCCTGCTCCCTGTCTCTTCATTACCTTGTAAGTACTTTTTTTTTCGGCTGCGATACTGAGTTTTCAGCGTCACTCTCGTCTTTCCTGTTCTTTCTTTCTTCTTTTCTCTTATTCTTCCTTTATCTCGTTTTAGCAGTTTATCAATCAATGTATTATCTATTTTTATCTATGCCTTGCTATCTGAGTATTCCTTTACCACCGTCTTAATGAGTCTTTCTTTTACTCGCCTTCTTTCCTTTCTTTCTTTCTTTCGTACTTTCTTTGTTTTCACTCATCCTGTCTCTCGTTTTATCTACCTTACTATCTATCTATCTATCTATCTAACTGTCTATCTATCTATCTATCTATCTATCTATCTATCTGTCTATCTATCTATCTAGCTATCTTTCTATCTATCCATCCATTCAAACATGTATAGTTCCATCTTTCCCAGGAAACTGCAATTCAACCATCTTTCTATCTTGAATCTTTGCCCTGAAGGATCAATCCCATTTCCTCTGATGTCGATCATGCATATTTTCTTCTTCTGCATTTCTTTCTTCTCAAGATATATAACCTTCTACTTTCAATCACTTCGTGTAATTTTCTCTCCCTTACAGATACACACATCTACGAGCATACAAGCAGACACAACTTTTGCCCATTTCCCTGACTTTTAATCAGCATTCATTCCGTCATCCAATCCTCTTCCCCTCACCAAATCGAGCTCGCAAGTTTTAAAAAGAAAGAAGGAAGAGCGCTTCCTATTCACTCGCTTTCTAAAGTTGCTTCATTTTCTCAACCCCTCTTCACGAGGCATGTTTTGCACACATTTGTGGCTCGCGATATTGTGCTCTGGATCCAGAGGGTGATAACTCTCGTATGCATTTTTTGTATCCTCGATCATTTCGTCATGAATAAACTTGGAGAGTTCATGCATTTCTCTCTCCCTCTCTCTCTTTCTCTCTCTCTCT